CTTCTTGATGTTGCTGCTTAATTGCGGTACAGCTACCTGGCGGGTGCTTTGCCCAAGACCTTCAGTAATACACAGCACGATTACCCGGAAGCGTCTGGCAATCAGTCAAACACCTTCGTTGCACAGGAGAACCACATACCCAAGTAGTAACAGACTGAAAATGTATCTGAACAGCAGAGAATCTCCAAGCCAAACAGTGTAGACTGTTTTATAGAAACTGGCCTAGAAGCAAATGAGTTGTTTAGCCACTCACGGCTAGCTGGGTGACTTCAGGGGGCTACCGTAGCTGCAGAGGGACAAACTTCAACCAGACAGCGACTACTCTGCCGGTTACACTCGCGTATATACATATGCAAGTCTTGGTTGTGGTTAATAAAGTTTAAGTAGGCCTGCTGACTTACCACAATTATATTTGACAGGATAACTACAGGGTGTTTCATGTAAATGGAATTATGAATGAATAAATATACCATAGTTTGTCACAATGTCATTCTTAAAGGCTATATATAGTTTTTCGATAAAGTGAAAAACTTAGGCTATATACAGTACATTGTCATTTGCAGTGTTAAATAAAATGAAACGTGTTGTAATGTCTTGACAAAACAGATGTCGCTCACTGAAGCTTTTATTCAGGATTAGAGATAATAACAAAAGCAGCGTTCCCATACGTGCTTTCTTCCGTATCCTATAATCCAATGCATTAACCCCATAAATGCTGAAGCAAAGAAAAGAACAACAAATTTCAACTATTCACAGTTTGACTGCAGCACCGCAGTATACCTGTAGGCTACAGTACTGTAGGATCCTATATAGTCGTCATTGGATCATATTTTAAAATATTTTAAGTATAGTATATTTAGGAAAAAATAAAGTTCATCCACGCTTTCTTAATCTTAGGCTCACAAGGATGGCAATGCACAACTTGGCACTGTAAAACATCTTGTAATCCTCAGAGCATCTCTATTGTTTTGTTGCTGCAGTAATCCTGTGTTTGCGTCTCTCGCATGTACTACTATGTGAAACACGTGAATCGGTAGGCGGGGTTAAATAGGCAATGATGTAGAAGTATGCTTTGATCTTCTGAGAGGCGGTCTTTCGTCACACTATGATGTTATAATGTGACATCAAGCTGTCAAATCCGAAACAAGCTGTTCGGACAGCTTAGACAGGTTCGGACAGGTTTCAATAAAAGCTGTATGGGACTACTGCGGAAGTCTTGAGTTCTGAAACTTACAGGATATCTTTATAGTACAATTATCTCTTATATGTCAAAAGATCAAGGAAAATTTGATTTCTCAATTCATGACCCCTTTAACTATGTCAGTGGGCCAAGAGCACATGAGTTGGTTAAAAAGACTTTATCTTTCATTTGCACTGAAACCAGAGACCTTGACCTGTCCAACTTCTAATTCTAGCAGGCTCAAAGGAACTTGACCAACAAGAACGCTCAGCCTTCTGAAATGAATTATAACCAGAAGTATCATGCACATTTTTTCTTTGGTCATGTCTTACAGTATATTGTTTCTGGGTGAAAAAAATGATCCAGACCTAGCTGCATGTGATTGTTTCATTTTTTTTTTTTTTTTTTTTTTACCAGACTTCAAAAGAAATGCATGTCCCAGCCTATTTTAGTTGTTTGTTCCTTGTCCCTCACCTTGGCTTAGACCAACAACCTTTTACAGTAAGTTGTGACACCCCCCCCCCCCAGCCAAAATAGAAAGCTTAAGAGAAAACATCCGAGGGCTGCAATCTCCCAGGCATGCACTACTCATTCTGTGTCAGAAACAAAGACTTTGTTTTGTCCCTGCAATGTTGGCTTTTAATTTATTCTGCTGACGTTTGACAGAATTTGCAGCCAAGCCTCTTCTTAACACCCAAACAAATACTCATTAGTAGTCAAGTCTACAATAGATGCACAGGAGACCTCTTGTAGTGCATGAAAATGAGTACAAGTACATTTGAGCTGCCTAGTTATTTGCACAGACAGACGGGGCTTTCTGTACCTTGCATGCAATCCGTTTTGCTGTGATAAGACGGCTGTGTTGTGTGGTTAAATGTTGATCACTTATCACAACAATAGCTGTTCTCAGAGACACTAATCAGAGAATCCTGAATTGCTCTTTTCAAAATCCTTAAAAAACCTTTTATTCCACAAACTTGCATTTCAAAGCAGCCAGAACATGGATTGCTGCAACGCATGAGTGGATTGCATCAGGGCCTCACCCATCTCAGGTCAGGTGACAAAGCATAAAAAGGCCCATCAATATGACTTTATTACTATGAGTGAGTTAATGATACTGTAAGTCACAATGGGCCAAATAGTCAAGCAAAACATTAAACCAGATTGTCTGCCATTTTGACTGCACCATTAGTGTGCAACATGAACGTCTTTTTAATATTTTTATTTATTTTGCATGTGTTTGCTCTCTGTATAACTAATTTCATGCAGTTGCAGGCAAAACCTGATTTCACCAAGTGCAACATTTCAATCAACCAATCAGATTTGATGGACAAGTTTACAATTTATGTCAACTTTAGGTTTACAACTACGGTTACGTGCTTCTACATCAGTGTTATTCACCTATCATTTCCCTCTAATTTTAAGGATAACTTATTAGGTTTGGGGGTAGAGATATGGTCATAATACATTTCCGGGCAGGAGTGTTGTTCCAAAATCAGGATGTGCCAGTCCCCAAGTTTTTAATATTGTTTTTCCCAACCCCAAGGCAACTTCTATATTGTGTTTGTTGTGTAAGCTCTAAGGGTAACACTTTACAATAATAGTACATAATACCTGAATTAATAATTACTTTGAGTCATATGAATTCCTGCATGAATATACCATCTTAACTACACGTTAGTAAATGCTTGTTAATTAATGCATTAATTAACATTTCGGGGTATACTAAATCAAACATGTTCTAGATCAGAAGAAAGATGTACTAAAAGGGCACAATGTAAAATTGTTCATAAATTTGACACCAGCAACTGTCACAAACACCAGTGAATGACACTAGATGTCTTGCAATGTTTACATTTAACCTTACTCGTTGAACACACAATGATGCATTCATCATTAAAAATAATTTAATCTCATTCTGTTTTAAGTGATTCCACTGCTGCCATCAAGAGTGAAATACCTACACTAACATATTCATTAACAGATGCAATTTTCTAAATTAAAATCAGTGTTAGCACAGATGATGGTTATTTATGTGGTTATTTTATGGATTGGTTTACTGTCTTTATATCATAATGCAGTTGGATGTTAGTCAGTTAGGTTTCTTGCTCTTCTTTTGGGCCACAAAATGTGTCCATTTTCTAGAGCAAGTTTGATTTAGTTTACCCCGAAATGTTAATTAATACATTAATTAACAAGCATGTACTAATGTGTAGTTAAGATGGTATATTCATGCAGGAATTCATATGACTCATGTCGTAGTTAAGGTTAGTTCCTCATTAGTACATGTCTTAACTCATCATTAGTTCATAGTAATTATTAATTCAGGTATTAGCACATGACTATTCATGTACTATTATTGTAAAGTGTTACCGCTCTAAGATGTTCTAAGAATGTTTTTATGAACCTCCCTATTAAGTTATGAATACATTATTTCTGAATGTTCTCCAAACATTAAAAATAAATATTTGTTCTTTGTTGTGGAACTTCCCATTAGGCAAACAACATGGAAATGTTAGTTTTGAATGTTCTCTGAACATTCTGACACAAGTTAAAAATTGTAAACTTAAACATTTCAACAACAAAATTAAAAAAAATTCCATTATCGATGTATAGATACTGTTTTTGGGCTAACATTTTGAGAACATTATTGAACTTAAAAAAATATATATATATATTTATTTTTTTGTATGTGTTCACTCTCAAAATTCTTCTTTCAATTCCATAGTATCTGTGTGTCTTGTGGTTAAGTCAGTTGTGCCTTGGCCAAGTTTATTTCTCCACCCAGCCTGTAAGGCAATCTCTTCATTACGTTTGTTGTGTAAAAAAAAAAAAAAGTGGTGACATTTTGACAATATTAAAGACCAGATAAATTTGAACGAATGCTCTATTAATGTTGCTGGAAGAATGTGTTTTCATAACTTTGAGAAAACCTTGCCTAAACGTTAGGGAAGATCTGAGAACATTCCCTTTTAATTGGATTTACAACAGAGTACAACCTATATCAACGGATAGAGTTCATTTTCTGTCTGAGACTCATAGTTTGTGCCAAAACTTTTTGGAGAGCATGTGAATCAACAATATATTTCACAATGAAGGGAATGTGATTTCAGTTTACACAAGAGAGGATTTCAGACTGCTGGGTTGCACATTTCCATATGGTGCAGGTGATCAGAATCAGAAATTAAATTGAAAGTGGTCGAAAAAGTGCAATGAACTCACTGCTGGTTGTACCATTGGCATCATTTTGATTTAAGGCACGAACTACATTTTCAGTTTTAGTGGGTTGCATTTTTTATCTCTTCTAAGTCATGGATATGTCCACATACAAAAGTTCGCAAAACTTCAGTACAGAACTACTTTCCATTATGCCAGTGACACTGACACTGCATGTAACTTTCCACATGGACTGAAGCATTATTTAGGCTACAGAACGTTTCTTTACATCTCAACCTATAACGTTTCATGTCAAGGACTTGGCCACTGGAGAGTAAATGATTGTCAAGATTATAATTTAGATACAAATCAAACATTATTTTCAAGAGAACGTTTGTGGTTTGTGAAAAACATGGTTTTGTTTTATTTTATGTACAGCACCACATTCCAGGCATTCCTCAATCTATAGAGGAACTCCGACGCTCCGTAAAGAGTCACATGATTCACGCACTTTACCCATTATATTACACGATAGTGAGATGTTTGCAGCAAATTGTTGTAATCAGATCGTTATGGGTGTTGTTGGACAAATCTATTTTCGTATGCCTGCAACGCCTCCATACACACCCTCCTCGCCGATTTAAATGTGTGGATGAGACTGAACTTAGTTACCTTTGCTTTTTTCGATCTGACGAACTGTTAGATGAAGTTTAGGGATGTTTAGCGTCAACATTTAAACCGTATCAACGCCGACTCTTATGTGGAAATCTCCAGTGTAGATTGAGTCTGTTGTAGGCTACAATGACAGTCTTTCATCTGGATGATTTTTTAGCAGGATGGATTGGAGGTGAGTTTTATTTGTTTTGCACTTAGTAAGAAGCTTTGTATGTTTAACATTGCAAACAAACCCCAACCGTACATTTTCGGAGAGTAGCCTAATAGCTATTGTGCGATTTAACAGCTTGTATGCGTGTACAGTTTAGCCTATACTTTTTTTCGTAAAGTAGTTACAAACAGATGTGTAAGTTTCAATTAAACTAGCACTTTTAGCTGTTAAAGAAGCATATTATCAGCTTTTTTAGAATGTTTTTTTTTTAAGTACCGCAAAAAATTGTCAATATAAAAGAGTAGAAAAACAAGTTTGATTGAGAGATGGCAAGAAGCCGCGTGAGGGGCGTCGTTGAGTCGTGTTTATGTTTATTAGTTAGGTGTTGTTTCTGTTGTTAAGTCTTACATTAAAACACATCCGTGTCCATTTTTAACGAAATTTGTGTCACTTCACTTGTAGGCTACGAAACCATATCAGTAAAGTGTTACAAATCTTTGCTCCATCAGACAAAATATTTCACTATTTTCCGCGCTCTTGCAAACAAGGCAGATTTCGTGTTTTGGCAAAATTGGTCTACATTTCTCAGCCTTAAACGGTTTTTGGTGGAAAAACGGGTTTTGGTTCTAGAAAAGAAGAGTGTATTCTGTAAAGCCCCAATAATGTGCATGTCCTGCCCATCCACCATGAAATGTTCAAAACAATGTAACTTATTCATGAAAACGGACACTGTGTTATGCAAGAAGAGCCTCCCACAAAGCCATGCAATACATCTATCATTATAATTGTCTTTGAAGGTTTGTCACTGTTTGTGTTGCAGGAGCATCCAGTGTAATTGTAGGACATCCGCTTGACACAGTCAAGGTAAGGTTTGTGATTTGTTTTGTGTAAGATTAGTAGGCTACTTATTATATATTTATAAAAAGTTAATAGGTTTTACTCTCCAAGTGACTTCATAAGGCATTATTTTTCTATTTTTACCCACAGGGCAGGCATAACATTTTTTGGTTAGGAATGAAGTCAACCCAGGAAATAATGAGAAACATTAATTTGTGCTCTTTTACAGACTCGTTTACAAGCTGGCAATGGATACAAGAATACTCTCCACTGTATTGTATCCATCTACAAAAAGGAAAATGTAAGAATTTACATATTTATAAACTAAATGAAAAAAAAATATATTGAAAATATATATTTTTTTCAATAACCGTATCACAATTACCCCAAAGGGGCAGACAGCCTTGTATTTATTGAGCCATTTCTGTTTTGCTATACCTTTACAGCTATTTAGAGCTATAACCTCAGGCTCTTTAACTTTATAACATTTATAATATATAAAAAACTTATTTACAGAATGAAAATATTGTTATTACAGCATGGTATCAGCAAAGTTAGCCATTGTTCAGAGATTGACACTTAGCCTGAATAGTTAACTTGGAGTTACAGTAATTTAGATTTATTTAATTTAGAATTTTATTTACTTTAGATAATTTATATTAGTCATTTATAGTTTTCCCATCCTGTTCTCAAATGTCGTTAATATCTTACAGTTGTCAACATTTTAAGTGGATCAAAACCTTTCATCAAAGTTATACCTTATAGGCTACATGAATTTTTAACAATACCCGTTCTTGTCTTAGGACAACTTTGATTAACTTTTTTGATCCACTTCAAATGTTGACAACTGTAATTTCTACCAAAGAAAATGTCACTTCCTTGAGGATTATTGAAAACAAAATAAAACAATTATTACAACAATAAAATAACCAATAATGCCAAAGAAAATATTGGTTAAAACCTTTTAAATGAAAAAAAAGACATCTGAAATATCTCCTAATAAATATCCTGTTGTTCATGTAAAATGTTGCAGCATCTTGGGATTTAAATGGTAACATCTCAAACAGAAGTAGTAAAATGGTTAAAAAACACCCTATTTTTACTTAATTCTGTATAATATATTAAGATGTATAGGATTGACCAAAGTCACCAATGAAAATCACAGGACAACATTTGTGTAAGTGGGCCCCCTCACCCCCCAAGCCCAATGAGTAGGCTATACTCTCAATCACAGGGCCTGGGTCTATGTTCCCAGTTGTCCCCGGGATGGACTTCATATATATAAAAAATCACCCCATTTATGGTATGAACAGACTTTTCCTTTACTTAGAAGCAAAAGTAGACAACTCATGACAAAGACATCTCTCTCTTTTGTGTTGTCTCAGGTTGCAGGGTTTTTCAAAGGCTTGTCCTTTCCACTGGCTAGCATCACCCTCTATAACTCAGTGGTGTTCGGAGTCTTCAGCAACACACAACGCTTCATTAGCAGATATCGTTATGGTGACAGTAGACACCCTTGCAGCATGCTTGACTTGACTGTAGCGAGCATGTTAACCGGTCTGGTTTCGGTGGGGGTGGGCGCCCCTGTTGACCTTATCAAAATTAGACTGCAGATGCAAGCCCAACCTGTTCTTGCAGGTAAGCTGGAGTCTTGACATTTTAGCACCCTGGAGCTATGATGGATGGAGTAGGACTTAACATGTTCATGTTAACCCTTTCATACATGAATTATGATAACCACAGTCAGGATATGTGATTGTATTGCTCTTAGGCCATGAAAAACAAGATTTGAACTTTTTTTTACACATATTTTACATGAGTGGACAGTATGCGTTTATGTTTTTAATTGAAGAGATACTGTATTAAACAATACAGTAATAGCACCGTAATACTGTGTATTTAACAATTCATAATTGTCAGAATAAAATTATATAAAGTCATGTGAAAACTATAAAATATATACAAAAATATATAATATAGATTCAATTATTGCAAATGCACTTGAGTTTGTTCTCGAGTTTGCAATTCACGTGTATTTGATATCAGAACATGAGGATGTGATTCCACCAAAGACTTGACAACCGGTGAAGGTACAACTCTGTGAAACCCAATGCAGACTATGTAGATAATGCCTCAGCTATGTAGCTGAGATATAGCTAGTGATGCATGATGATGTCTAATTTAGTGGACATGACTTATCAGAATTTCCTCCCAATCTAAAATCAATACTTGGAAAATTGATACGAGTCCTTAGATGCAACAAATGTTACAAATGGATGGATATTCCAGTGCAACTTGGCATTTCTGACTGGCCGTTGGCAATCTTGGTTTGGAGAAAACTAAAATTCTACTGCTTGCCACTTGGTAGCATAGTGGTTGATGTGCAACTATGCCATCAAAACCCATGCATACATAAGTAAATGGCTACAGATGCCCACTGTAGTGACCTCTATGTGTAAAAGGGTTAAAGGAAACAATCCCATGTAATGATTACTGAAAGCTAATCATTTCCAAGGAAATGAACGATTGTGAAAAACAAAATCTCTATGAAAAGACACAGTATTGCTCATGTACTATTTTGTGTGTTTTCAGAGAACTTTAACATTGCTGGGAATGGGAGTGTCCCTCTTCGGTCAATGGGAATTCAGTCCCAGACTATGTACAGAGGGCCGCTGCACTGCATTAGTACTGTCCTGCAGAACGAGGGCATTCAAGGGCTCTACCGAGGAGCGGGCGCCATGATATTGCGGGATATACCTGGTTACACCCTGTACTTCATACCGTACACATTATTCTGTAACTGGCTGAATCCTGATAGCAATGGCACCCCTCATCCATGCAGCATATGGCTAGCAGGAGGTTTAGCAGGTAAATGAGACATGAGAGCTGTTCCAAAACCTAGTAGCTTCTATCTACTGCCTACACAGGCACCTGGCTTCTAACTAAAGTGGAACCTAATAAGTGACTGATCTGAAACCCTCTCAAATGCACAGGCTCGCAGTAGATTTCAATAGAATTTGATGTTAACATGTTGCTAGGCTAACAACATGAGTCCCACAATAGTCCACTTGAAATATATTGTCTGATATATATCGGCTGAATGTGATCCTTACCTACACTCTTATAAATAAATGTTCTTTATTTATTGTCATTAATGGTTTCATGAAGATCCTTTAAAATCCATGGTACCTTTCCATTGGAAAAAAAGTTTCTTTTTAATGATAAAATTTTCATCACACCAAGAAAAAAAAAAGTTTCTTTTGGTCACTTCAAGTTTATTCTGGGAACCCAGAATGGTTCTTCAATGGCATTGGTGTGAGGAAAAAAACTAACTTTTAGAACCTTTGTTTCCAAGAGTGTAAAGAAAATGTAATTTTTTTTAAACACCAGATGTAGTGTTTTTAAGTCTGTTTCCAAAAACACAGCTGTTTTCCAAAATTGTTTTCTCAAGTTCAACTGAGTTAAAAGGCTGTGTCAGAACCTCTGTATTACACCACATACTTCTCAGCAGTCATGCATAGATTAGCAAGTGTACTGTTGGCTAAGGTGAGTCAGAGGGTGGATTGTTTTGAGATTTCTCACTGCACTTCCCATTTAATATTTCCCTCCTATCGGTAAATGACTGGAAGAGCCTGGTTTAACGGAAAAATGATTCTAGTGGGAGTCAAGCATTTTAAGAATACTCTATTTCACTTGTGTTTATGCTGTTGTTCCACAGGATCCATCTCATGGGTCACCGCCACACCTACGGACGTGGTGAAAAGCAGGTTGCAGGCCGATGCCATGCAGCAGAGGAAATACAAGGGCATTATGGATTGCATCATGCAAAGTTACAAGACAGAGGGAATACATGTAAGTTTGTAATGGATGTTATACAATATTTGTTTAAGTAAGGTTGAAAACAAAGTTTTAATGTAGCAGCTGCATGACTAGTTACAATAGCTGCTAAACAGATACAAAAGTAAAAGTAAACAAGTACACTGTCAAACACGTTTGGTCAGCCTAAAAAATGTGCTTTGTGTGGTTACATCCAAATAAGATTGTTTTATTTAAGTCAGTAATCTTTTATTATGCTTTTTTTTAATATCATCTTCCATGTAGTCTGTAATTTTGCTGAATGTAAAAGGCCTGCAAAGATCAAAGTGCACGATAAATTGAGTTATTGTCTCATAAAAGAAAGAATTGATTCTGAATTGCCGAAACGAGTCGTCAGCAATTCCAGTCTCAGTACATACCAACAATGCAGTAGTAGGTGAGGCCTGGAATTTGAGTCTCCGGAGCTGAAATTCAGATATGGTAATAGGCATTTCATTTACGACATGCACTGTAAGCGTTAGACCAGTGGTTCCCAAAAATTGTTCCAGGAGACCCCTATTTTAACATTCAAAATCCTTAACGACGAGCTTGGTGACCCCTAGTAAATCTTTTGCGGCCCCCAGGGCAACCAATCACAACAGACTGGGCCATGTGACCAATCAGAGCCATCTGACCAATCAGAGCAGAGTAGACTAATCACAACAGACTGGGCCATCTGACCAATCAGAGCAGAGTAGATCAATCACAATCGACTGGGCCATTTGACCAATCAGAGCAGAGTATTTACACCATGGCTGAATCCGAAATCGCCCCTTAAACCCTCATTCACTATTCCCTACGTTAGTCCACTAATACTGTTCACTTGAAGGAGTGAATGAAAACGAGTGAGCGAATTCGGACAGTCGTTGAGTGTACATCGTCTGTACACACTCGTTATTGCGGTGCAATGTGGGATTGAATGAGTGCACTCAATAACATCCACTGTGGTTTTGGACACCACTACAAATGGTTGGTCCCTCAAATAATGCCCTATTTGAGGGTATAGAGGTCGATTTCGGATTCATCCCGTGTCTACAACGGATGTGACCGTTGACATGCCGCATCACGCCACTCCGAAAAAGCTAGAAGAAGCTGTCCACACTGGACACGACAAAGCGAACACGTGTCGCACCACATCCAGTGTAGACAACATCACTGATTATAATGGTACTATTGTCTTTTGTTGCGTCACATCGCGCCTATCTCATCCGGTTTAGACACAGAGTTAGAAAGGAGGGATTTAGAGACTAAATTAATGTTTTCAGACTTTTTGAGAAATTAGGTGATGTGCAATGTATATATTATGAAAAATGGTTGCATGCACTTTGGGTGCATGTAAACCTATAAGACCTCCAAAACAACATAAGAAACCTTTAAAAATAGCAAAATAGGGGGAACTTTAAAATGAGGGAGTCACTCAAATATGCACTATATTACACCAGTAATTTATATACAATATATTACACTAACTGAAGTAATTTAAAGGTCAGACCAGGTAAAATAGGTCATGGGCACAAATTAAGTTAATTGCTGTTTATGTTTAAACCTGCTGATTCAGAATTTAATGAATTATATGAAATATAATACTGATGCTTTTGTTTTTCATTTTATTGTCAATGTCCAATGCAGGTTTTCTTTCGTGGGGCGACCGTGAATGCTATCAGAGGATTTCCAATGTGTGCAACCATGTTTCTTGGTTACGAGCTTTCCCTCCAGTTTTTCCGCAGTTCCTAACACAGACTCAAGCTGAAACAAGCTAACGCACAATATATGCTCTCAGAAATGATTTTATAGGATTCGTGATTTTAATGGCATGTAGACTTACATGTGGCATTTATGTGAGTTCATTGTTGATACAATGAAGAGTATCAGGGAAGCTGTGTTTCTTATATTAAGAAAAAAGTGAAAAATAGTAAAGTATTTTGAACATATTTGTTTTGCTGAGATATTTTAATATATGATTATCTTTTTAGATAAGGTCGGTGGGCTTTCAGTGCGGAGTGCCTTTAGGTGTATCTGCTAATGCAATAATATGCAAATGGGAACAAATTATATAGTGAACCTGTAATATAAAGTGTTTGCATGCTTGTTTGTATGAATCACTTTCAAATGTATTTTACTTGATGTAAATAGGAATTTTTATTTTTTTTTAGAATAAGTTTGCTCTCAGCTGTGATATGTCGGAATATGCTCGTTTGAAAACATTGTCATGGGTGTTCATGTCCTTGAAAATACTTTTAATGCTTCATATCCTTTTTTACACAACCTCCACTCTCCTCTTATCATCTAATTGTTATGGAAAGAGGAATATAGAGGCAAGAAACGAGTTGTAAAAGTAATATAAATATAAATTATATAAAGTGTCTTTTGAATAAATCGTGAATGAATCGGACAGTGTTATTTCTGATTCTCTAGGTGGCGCTGTTTCATTATGTCAGAAAAGTCAGCAGTTGCATGGAAATATAAAGAAAAAATGTTTCCACCAGATGGTGACACTGTATCTAAAACAAACCTGCCAGAGCAAACTTTTCTAATAAGCATTGATGAAGGGTCATCTGTATGTCTGAATAATTACAAACCTTATTCAGAAACAAAATTATTTTCTTAAATCATATGCTATACTCTGCATTAATAAACCACAAATGGCGTTATGTTTGTATATTATGTCTCTATTTTAAATCCATCCATTCATCTAACGCTCATTGTTTGGCTTTAGCTGTGTACACACTAAAAAAGAAAAGTAAAGTTTAATGTACCAAAAGTAATATTTAAATGTTACTATTCTGAGAATAAAAAACAAACAAACAGATGGAATAATGATAACACCTGCAATTAAAAACTCTAGACAGACAGCAACCCTTGTTTTGAAATATTCATACCTTCGGATTAAATGATGACTCAGATGTGGGGGCTCCGTATGCAGCAGATATTTGATTTGTAATGTTCATCTTAACTTATTCGCGTGCATGAATATTGACAACTTCACATGTCACTGAATTCCCGACTGCGTGAAAGAGCCTAACGATGATGGATGACATGCTCATCACAATCAGCTGCACAATGCCTGTTCCTCCAAGCTTTCGTACAAAGAGATGATGTGTGTGCTTGAGATATCAGACCATCATGTAATAAAAATATTATTGTCTATGATTCATAGTGAGCTGAGCACACAAAGTAAAGCAATATGTTTTTTTACAGGTTCCCAGGTGCTGCTGCTACTACTACTACTTACTATACTAATAATAATAATTATTATTATTATTATTGAAACACCCCAACAACCACCCAGCTACTGCCAAACAATGAAAGTGTATCTATTACGGGAATTACTATCATCATGTTGTACAGTTCAAAACACATCAAAGTATTGAAAGTATGCTAATAAGTTACTAACACAGAATGAAATAGACTCACCATGTGACATGGTGTTGTTGGCGGCCGAATGCACACCAGACATTAATCTGTCCAAAACCTTCAGTGGATTTTATCTTTAAAGGATCCCTCAAGGCTCACTCAGTGACATATTAGGATTATGATTTCATTGTGGCTCCCATTAGCTACCTAAACTGCATTGTTCTCTTGTTCCAGACGTGATGTCATAAAGTCAGTTTTAAATGGAGCAGATCTCTGAAATCAGACCCCATATGGCTGGTACTGTTCTGCTTTGTTTGAACTGATTGTGTTACTAGCCCGAGCACCTGTCAGTAATATTTGTTCAGGTCTATGTACAGGAGGTAATGAGGGATCAGTAAGCTGTACACAGCGCTTTCACAACCAGATCCTGCTGACCTTCAGAAAGGAAAAACAGTCTAAAAGTCTAAAATAGCTGAATGCACATAATACCACACTGCTGACAGATAGTGTCACTGAACATTATTGTTAATTATTTGTATTGTTTATATTCAACACTGTTTCAGCACCTTTGTTTGCACCTTTAAAAAAAACCAATAGACTAGTCTTATGTTAGTCATCAAATGTTTGTCTTAAAGACTGTTAAGAACTTTTTAAAGCCAGTTACATAAAAATGCAGATTGATCTAATTTGATACCGAAAAGTAACACTGGTTGCACCTTGGCTTCTTAAGACACAGTCTTAACATAATGGCTATGCAATATATTGCCATATTTCAAGACTTCCAAATAGCTGTGAGCAGGGCTGGACTGGGACACAATTTCACACTCATCCAGGCCATCCCATACACCCACAACAACACTATTTTTTGTATGGCTATAATGGTCTAAAACCAAGCTGGGATTAAAGGTTCTCTCTCGAACATACCTTCACTTCACTTTTCCTTTTCTTCATTTTACCTTATATCTCTCTGTTTCTTCCTTGCGTGTATACTTTTTTTGTTTGTTTCTTGTACCTGTCACTTCTTCACCAGTTCAGCAGGCCTACTGATAAACAGAACTGCCTCCACCTTGTTGCAAAAAAAAAAAAAAAAAAAAAACTTGTTTGCACCAAATCTAAATTTTTCAAATGAATAGCCTGTGTTGATGGATTTTATTTTTCATCTTGGAATGACTAAACAAAACTTTATTTCATACAAATATAGAACTAATTTTCCAAATTGCCTAAATGTCAAAATAAGTATGACTACATCATGACAGAAGATCTTTTTAGGAAAATCCTAATACTGAACATGTTTTATAATAACGTTTTGTGTTGTCTGGCCTAGGCCTATAGCTCCCTCCCTATAAATCAATGTGAATAGGCCTATCTGTCTGCTAAATTTCTAATAACTTTACAATAGAGATATACCGTCCTTTTGCATTGGCTATAGTATTTTGATTGAAGAAAGCAATGGATATAAGTTCTACTGCTAACATTTTCTAGCCGTTTGTTTAATACTTCGCTAAGTTTAATACTTCGCTATTTACAAATGGAAGTTGAACTGACCTGTACTTGAAGCCCTGAACTGCTCAGTAATTGTCTTATATTTTGCTGCTCCTTCTTGCAGACATTTCCCTTTCTTCTCTCACAACTTTCCCAATCTTCGACTCCCCCTCGCATTGTTTGAGAAACCGTTTTGATTGGCGGAGGCGTGGAGCCGAATAGTTCACTAACAAATCGATTTAGCCTATTTATTCGGGAATTAATCACTTTGGTAAAATAGGCAGGCAAAAAATATAATATAAAATAATCATAATATTAATAAATAAATAAAATAAAAACAGGGCAGCGGCCTATGTCGGGCCTGTAGCAGCCTGTCTATGGTAGCAGCAACAAATTAAAATTTTATTCATTCAGCATACAATTTCCCAACCACTAAAAAAAAATGGAATTTCATTTGCATTTACACTCAGATTTTTAAAATGCTGAAATTTAACTTTTAAATAATTTTTTTTTTTTTTTTTTTTTAAGGAAACATCCCCATGGAATCACTATTTAATCTAGACTCGTCTTGAACAACACAAATTGTAATTGTGCGCGGTGAACTAAATGCTAATTAGCAAATTTTAAATAAAACACTAAAGTTTGATTTTGATATCTACATCTATATAATTAGAAGATAATGGTCGTATGTTTGTCGACCGCAAGTACCCTACTGAAGCGGCGTATTGTTGCTATGACTACCTCTTACTAACTTCCAAATCTAACCTTGGTGTTTATTGCAAGGTTTGAAACCCCGGCTGAAACGTATGCAAAATTGTTTTTAATGTAGCCTATGTACCCCCGCACCTTTTGTTTGTACTCTGGGATTGTTTTAAACCTCAAAGCTCTAGGATCAGTTGCTGATGCCAGAGGGTGGAGAGAGAGAGAGAGAGAGAGAGAGAGAGAGAGAGAGAGAGAGAGAGAGAGAGAGAGAGAGAGAGAGAGAGAGAGAGAGAGAGAGAGAGAGAGAGAGAGAGAGAGAGATACGATACGATACGGAGGAGCACACACACAAACACATCACATCAGACGCTGAATTCAGAGCAGTCAGGACCACCTCGCTCTTTCTCCCTCTCTCTCATCGCGGAGGTTTGTAAATGTTCGCTCCTCGCATGCTCTCTTTTCTCCATCCTTTTGATCAGACTCGGCGCGATGTTTCCATTGAATGCGCTGCATGTTCCTGGTGCTGAACGCACTCGGCGATGGAATGGGTTGGGCACGCAGGGTAAGGCGTGATCTGCCAGTTTAGGCTCCATGTGTGTAAGAAAAGGGCAAGTGAAATTGTCAGTGAGTTGTCAGGTGCTTTGAGAGATGCCTTGTGTGTTTTCAGGTAAGCGGTAGAGACAGAAGCGCGCGCGACGTGCATGATCAGAGAGAGAGAGAGAGAGAGAGAGAGAGAGAGAGAGAGAGAGAGAGAGAGAGAGAGAGAGAGAGAGAGAGAGAGAGAGAGAGAGAGAGAGAGAGAGGGAGAGAGAGAGAGAGAGAGAGAGAGAGAGAGGAGAGAGACGACAATATGCGCAGGTGCAGTAATTGGTGAATCTGCCAGCTGATGGACTGCATGATTGCATTGTATACCGGTGGAGGGCAAGGCCGAAAACAACTGAATAAGATAGGCCTGCCCTACATGATTCTACTGTTGATTGAGCTTCTCTGATGTACAGTGGGTGTATGAGAAACCAGTATCTGTGGCTACAATTGCCTTGAGCTCCAGTACAGTATAGCATACAGTAGGACAGCTCCTTTCATATTTACTGTCCATTGCATTGGTAGCCTACATTAATTCTTCAAACATGAACACTTAAAACATCTAACTGTCCTTAAATGAAAATGTAGGAAAGAGTTTATTATTTGATTATGGTTACCATGAGTTTTTCAGAGCTAAAGTAACAGGCTGCGTATTTAGTGACTGACATTGAGACAAACTGTTATTATGTGAAAGCCCTACGATGCAAGTGTATTATAGAAATTGTGAGATTTTTTTTTCAGCTTCAAATTTTTTAATATGCTTCTTTGAACCACGAGACAGATATTAACTTAAATTAGGCGTGCATTTTTTATGAATTTTAACCATGACCAATATAGTAGTGTTTTTGTGGGGTTAATTTGTACAATACAAATCTGATTCAAATTGGCAGGAATTTAGGCTATTTTATAATGTGCACATAAATTCATTTGTTTATGTAATGTTTATGTAATCTGGGGGTTGCTGAGAACCCAAACACAAGTATTGCAATATTTTTTAAGCACGTCATCAAGATGAAAATTAGTTTATAATCAGTTCTCATAAAATACAATTCTGAAAACCTGATACTTCAGTGTTACAGTGATTATGTTATGGGCTATATTCAAATGGCTTTTGCATGCAGCACGACTGTTTTTATATGCGTAACTCTAGCTTTCAAAAGTATTCGCCCTGATTGGACATAGCAAATGCACATTGCTATTTCTTATTTTTGGCCTCAGGCAAGAATGGGAATTAGGCCTAACCCTTGACCATTATTCATGCGCTGTGAGAGTGAAAAGAAGAGATAAAAGGAGCGAAAGAGAGAAAGGATGCATGAAATGGATGTATAGTAGAGGAACAGATAAGATCACGTTATTTCTGCTTCATAAAAACGTGTTGAAAATTGGATTGGCTATGCTGCAATTTAGATTGGCTATGCTGCTTGATGTTTACTGGGCGTTATAGCATTCAAACAAAGCAAAAAGCAAAGTACAGTGGTGTATGCACCATTTTCCTTGATTGTTTTTAATGTTTGTTTTAATGCACATTCATGTGTGATATTTCTAATAGCCTATTTAACCAATTTTTATGCTAAAGAGTTTGCTTTAGATTTGTCTATAGCCTACTGAATTAAAAGCAACAGGTTTTTAAAATGTGAACAAGAATTTAAACTTTTATTTCAAGCTAATTTGTTTCATTTTTGTGCCACTAGCGTCACTGAATTGAGTTAGCCTAGAGAATTGGTCTGCCTGCTGTAGCCAGTTTTGATTTTATTTTAAGTAAAATCAGTATTGATTGTATTTTAAAACCAATAAAGGAGAAATTCAGACAGGCATAAAGTTGATTCATGACTGTTTAAGTCAGTCATTTGGACACATCTGTCCACCAGCTCGAGTGTAAGGTGAGGTGTTGTTTGTGACAGGTGTGGAGTGGCGGTTTTGAAGCCTCTGCTGTGCGTTTGGTACTGAGAGTCGTCAGGAGAGGTCTAGCTGCAGGGGAGAAATCAAGTGCTGAATTATTTATAGCTGTGTCCAACCTCCATCAAATTGCATTGTGAGGCTTTATGATCATATTCCTTTTGGCAGGCTATGGTTCTGCTGTCACCATTGAAATGCCCTAAATTTCTCAGAATTGTGATAAAACAGCTGCTAAACTACACCCAACGGCCAATAGGTGTGGAGTGACAGTTTGCCAGAAGCTTTTGTCTCTTTTGTGATTATTGATAAACTGGTTTAGGAAATTTGAAAGATAATTCTTCCATCAGATAATCCCTTAATTAGCACGACTAGTTTTTGCATGCGATAAACACAACACATGCAGCACAACACTGACGTAAATCTAACGCTTCCTTAAAGAATAAAGCTTGGTCTGCACCTGGTCTGATTGGGCGATTTTGTGAACTAGATGTGTATGTTACAGTGTCAAGCTGTGGACAGATGTTGATTATAATTTAAAAAGACTTTTAATCTGGCTAAATGGTCTGAAAATAATGCTCTATGGGTGAAATGCTTGCAGCAAGTATATTTCAACTGAAAGCTTATCTCTCTTCCCCAGATTTCTAAACTCCCTCTGCATGGTTAGCCACTTGGCAGACACATACAACCACCAAACACACTTCAGACTCAAGGAAGAGGCATGATTTAGGTGAAATGGACAACCTATGGGTCAACAGCTATGTGTATACTTTTAAAAGTAATGCATTACAATACTGCATTACTCACTGAAAAAGTAACTAATTGTGTTACTTAGTTACTTTTTATGAAAAGTAATGTGTTAAGTTACTTTTGTATTACCAACACTGGTCAACTTGAGTCTGAGGTATTGTGAATATAGAATAATACAATAATTAAAAAATAATGAACGACTTTTATAAACTTTAAAAATCAAAAAAACATTTCTTGGCCCTAATGAAGATTCTGCCCAAGAACATCCGGAAAAACCATCTGTCTGACATGTAAAGCAATACCAGGCATATTTCATAATGCATAAATTATAATATCTTTGCACAGGTGGTCCAGTGTTTCACAGTATGAAGTATACACATTTATTCTGGCATTTTCACAAGATTGCACACGAAAATATTGTGTGCGTTCAGCACAACTGTTTATTTTTTTTACAGTCATGCCCATCTGTTTGCAAAGCACAGACCTGGTTTTGAATACATCAAAATGGAAAGTGTGAATCAGGTGTTAAGCAGTGCAGTCAACAGCAATGGTATATGACATGCTAACTTTAATGTGACAAGAGCTAATTGGCCCCCATTGGAGAGGGGGGTTCCCATGACCTCTTGTGTGAGCCCAACCCAGCACGCAGTGATAGGCTTTGACACTTACATAGCAGGAGCTCAGTGGGAGTAGCTGCAGACCCCCTTCCTGAAATCAAGTGTCCTCAACTGCTCTCACGCACCAGGAGGTGTAATATTAATATGCTGGCTTAAGTGGGTCAATGTTGACTCTTCATACGTTGCAGTAAAATATCAGGTTTTTCTTCCGAGACAGTGATTCCCACCCAGGGGTATAGGCTGTACTTTGGTTGTACACTTAACCCTCTGGGGTTGTTCGTTTAACAGTCACACTTGGGGTGTTCGGGTCCAAATGGACCCAAAGGGCAGGATTCATATTTTAAAAAAGAAAATCATAAAAAAAAAATTTAACTTGTTTTCTACAATTTTTTTTCTTTTCTTTTTTGTTGTTTTGAGATGTTTTATGATTTATAATTAATATTTATGCAATAATTATGACCCATTTTTTCCCATTGAACATAATAGAATTTTTTTTTTTTATTATTTAAAAAAAAGTTTTTTATCAAAGCTGTATTACATTTTAGAGTGAAGCCTAGGCCTCATGAAAGCAATTTAAAAAAAAATATAGATGCCATCTGGTGGACACACTGAGCATTTTTATCACGCAATAGCACATTTTTTACCACTAGTGGATTTACAGCTCTCTGTAGAAAGGCTTGGGGATTCTAGTGATTTTTGCAAATATATACCTATTTTTTTTCAGGTTGTTGATTTTTACAATATAATAACAGATTCTCAAAGACTATTTTTGTCTTGTTTTTTGTTTGTTTGGTTGGTTTAAATGATAATTTGAAGTGCCAGTTTTACTTTATAATACAGATTATTATAAATATATAATACAGTGTGTGTGTGTGTGTGTGTTTGTGTGTGTGTGTGTGTGTGTGTGTGTGTGTGTGTGTGTGTGTGTGTGTGTGTGTGTGTGTGTGTGTGTGTGTGTCTGTGTGTGTGTCTGTGTGTGTTTCTGTTTTGCACTCTTGATGTTTTAGAGATTCACCCCTTCACCGTTGAGTCATTTTTTCTGCATTCTGGCTGATTTGTATATTGTATGCACAAAAAAACTGTTTTCATATTTTTGACATTTGGACCCGAAGGTCCTGAGTGTGAGTATTTTTTTTATTTTTTTTACAACCACTTAGACTATTCAAATAGACTATTCTATTTGAATAGTCTGTGTTTTCATATTGAATAATCTGTGTTTTCATATTTTTGACAATTTCACATTCATTTCCTATGGGGGTCCATTTGAACCCGAAGGTCCTGAGTTTGACTTTTTTTTTTACAACCACTTAGACTATTCAGATCCTGTCCCCATTTGTTTTGTGTGTTCACATACCTAATACCATAAAAGTCACCTAGTTTCGTAACATTCCGATTAAGCTGTGATTTTTAAAAATTCAAAACAGATTTATGTACAGTAATCTGAATTTATGAGTGTGTATGTGTATAAAAGTGTGAGTGTGTTTGTGTGTGTGTGTGGATGTGTCTGTTTTGCACTCTTGATGTTTTATAGATTCTCCCCTTCACTGTTGTGTGCTTTTTTTATGGATTGTGGCTGATTTGTAGATTGTACGCCCCAAAAAACTCTGTTTTTTCACATTTTTGCCAATTTCCCATTAATTTCCTATGGGGGTCCATTTGGACCCGAAGGTCCTGAGTGTGACTATTTTTTTTACAACCACTTAGACTGTTCACATCCTGT